TAGGATGGGGAAACTATAACAGGGCTTGGTTGAGCAATGCCATCACCCAGCTCACAGGAACTTCGCAGCGCCACCGTCATGTTCACGCCGTGCCACCGCCATGCACATGGTCGTGCCTCACCGGTGCCACCGCGAGCCTAAACCCTAACCCTCGACCTCCGCTAGGTTACCCTAAAGCCGTAGCTGAGCTCCCTAGAGCTTGCCATGGCCAGAGATGGCCGGAGCGCTGCCGCCCTAGCTAGAGGCCGTAATAGGTTCAACCACCTACACCGCTGGATGCGAGATAAGGAGGGGAAGCCGTTGGGGGTGATCGCATCGCTGGAGACCTCACCTTTTGCGAGCTCTTAGCCGATCAAACAACGCCCCTGTTCTGTGTGGATGACGGGTGGGGCCGGTTGACCAAGGGGCCCAATGGGCAGTCACAGGGAGTGTGTAGGAATTCGGGTGTGCTTAGCATTTAATAGGGTTTTGCTGTTTTTCTTTATTTGTTTTTTTAGAAATTGTAGCAAACTTGTAAAATTCAAATCTAGAGCTAGGAGTGTCCAAATTGAGTGAACCAAATTTTGTTAGTTTCATCTTGATGAGTACTATCTGATAAAAATATGAAACTTGGTATGTGCTATAGTTTTATACTCTATTTGGATTTATTTTGTTTAATGCCTATTAATCTTGATGAGTTAGGGAGATGCTAAAATTGTGATTCCAATTTTGTTGGTTTTGTTTTGACATGCTGTAGCTAGGAAAAAATATTAAACCTACGGTAAGCATGCTTTGAATATGACTTTGGCTCCGTTCGTTTCGCTGAAAAAACAAGCCAAAAACACTGTTCCAGTTGATTTGTTGTAAGAGAAAAACACTGTTTCGACTGAAAAAAGAAGCTGAAAAGTACGAATTATAAGAGAAGCGAACAGGGCCTTTGTAATTGAACTTGATTAAATGCTAGTTTCTTGTGAAATTAATTGTGGTAGATTTGTGTAACCAATGGGCATGAATTAATTTCCACAGCATTCTTGTGTTACGAGGAATGTAAGAAAAATAGGAAATATGTTGTTTGACACTTTTCACTATACTAAACCTATTTAAGTTGTTATAAGCCTATACAACTTGTCATTTTTTTAGAGGTTGCTACACTTATTCAAATGGCATGAAATTTGAACAGTAGACTCTTGGGAGCATGTATAGGCTGCTGTAATTTTCCTAGATTTTTCTGTGCAGTAGAAATAGCAGTTCCAAATTTTACCTTGCTATACTTATTAAATCAATAAGTGTCTTTAATAAATTGTTTGGGCTTAACCATTATACTTTCTAGCATGTTTGTGATGTATACAATCTGATGGTACACTTGGTGGTTTCCAGATTTGATTGGTTGTATGCAGCTAGCTAATTAATGCTCTATAATTCACTTGCATCTAGTTCTTGACTGGTTTGCTTTGTGTGAGCTTGATGCTTGTTGATTTGATGCTTAGGCTAATTCAGGTAAGTTGTTAGATGCAGGTTTTAGGCCTCTTACTGCTGATGAACAACTTTACCTTAGGTTGCTAGAACATGATAAGTGTTTGTTTCTTATACTAGAGATGAGATATGCACCTACTCGATAAAGTAAAGTTAATCTTATACTAGAGAGGAGATATGCACCTACTCAGTAAAATAAAATTAATCTTGTCATCACCTTGCTATCTTGTTGTTAAGAATGAGTATATATATATATATGCATGCATTGCACCCTATCATTCATGTCATCCCTTGTGCATTCTCTATATTTATCTATATACTCATACATATAGGATCGACAGAGGGAGTGACATTGCTGGAGTTCGAGCTCGAAGGAGAGGAGACTCCGTAGGAGATCCCACAGCAGGAGGTTCTCAAAGGAGAAGGACAGGTTTAGGAGGAGTTGCCCGAGTGTCCTGATCACAGACCCTCGGTCTATTTGAAAGGCAAGCCCCGAAGCATTCTAAGTCTCCTATGTTTTATAAATGCCAACTTGAGTTATTTATGTTAGATGCATTAGGTTGTAGCAGTTGAGTGGAAACACTTGATACATATGATCTCCTTGTCCAGAAATATATCTTGAAAGCCTATGTAGATCTAGGATCGAATAAATGCTTAGCCATGCTTAGTTCGGTAGAAGTCGGATGATTTCCTGTCACCTGCGAGCTATAGGTGGATACCTGGTCATGGTTGGCTATATTTGCTATCATAGAAAAGAACCATGTGATGATGTAAATAGAGGCCGGGTGGAGTCTAGGTTGTAGGATGACACTTGTGATTCTGTCCGAGCCGCTTAAGGACCGCATCGTTGATGGTCCTCAGTCATTTTGAACATAGCCTCTCACTTAGATGGTCGGATAACTCGTTCCGACCGCAAAGCCGAGTAGCTCAAATCAGGTCGGGAGTCGTTCTGTCCGAGGGTGCACACTGGAGATAGTAAGGATGTGCGGGGAGCTAGATATGAGACCAAGGGCAGGCCGGGCCTGAGCGTCCTGGTAGCTAGTTAGTCCTTGAGTGTGTGACATTGATCGAACCCACGAAATGAGTCCTGAGTTGTACCAAAGGTGACCTAAGGCTACCTTCGTGCGGTACGCCTGGGTTTGTGTTAGGATTTCTGCCCAACTGGTTGCAATCGATTCGAATCGCCGTCTCTCTCGGATAGTGAGAAACTTGACTGAGCTTCCTTCTATCGTAGTAAGTAAATGGAAGTGAAATGGTTATGATGATGATATAATCAATGGCTATGGTTACTAATGTGATGTTATATCTATATTTGTATACAACATGTTTGGCACAGGTTAGTTGCTAATCTAGAGTGAATAGCTATAATTAACTTGATGACCGAATTATAAAATGTGTAGCTCAACTAGTGGCTTTTTATGCAAAATGATGTCAAGCTAAACCTACTTATCAAGCTTTCCATAATACTTGGTGTTACTTTATTTTTGGTTTATGACATATAGGTCTACCTGAGTACATTCCAGTACTCAGGGTTTATTCCCACTTGTTGCAGATGGTATTGTATATCATGGTTATTGCAAGAGCTGCTTCTCTCCAGCGATGGACGAGGAGTGAGACCATGGGCACGGTCCTTCTATATTAGTTTGCTCAGGTTGCTTTTGTTGGACTTGATCATGGAACTGGCACGTATCTAAACAATGTGTGTGAGATGTTTTAAAACTATATTGCTTTCGCTACTGAGTTTGAACTTTGTGTTGTAATAATTATATTTGAACTCCGATGTATGTTGAAGTACTTGTGAACTTTATGTAACATGTGACATGTATGTTTAATCATGTACGACCTTGGTTTATATGTTGGTTATGAATCGAGGTCATTCGCGACACTCGATGGACTACCGGGTTTATATGGGCTCAAGTATGACAGTGTGACCGCCTCGGTGGTTGCCATTGTACTTGTGCTCTTATAAATTGGTCGGTTTTGTGACACACCACACCGAAGCTTGGGCCAAATGGCCACAATAGTGAGCCGGCCGGCCCACTAGGGAGGCCGCCCGGCCTGCTCCAAAGCCCGCTCGCCTTCCACTGCCTCGTATGAATTTCCAAGATCTACACCATTGATTCTAAGGCGGTTATAGGTCGGTTCATCTAACGGTGATCGAGGGAGTCGACACGGATCGATGACGTGGTGATTCCTTGCCCCCTACTCCATCTCGATTCCTTGTCCCCTACTCCATCTCGATTACTTGCCACCTACTCCACCTCAGGCCTATATATAGCAGCCCCTACCCTCCTCCCTAGAGCCATCCCTGAAACCCTAATTCATATCTCTCATTCAGAGATCAAGATACACCAAGAGGATTAGGTCTAGACTCTCCAATGTAGTAGATTAGTAGCTCAGGAGTGAGGGTCGAGTTGGGCTCATGCTCAAGTTCTGGATCTAGTCTTGGAGGCTCAGCAAAGCCTTGTATCTTTACTTCTATATTTTGTAAGACTTATTATCAATTTATCATATTCATGTCTACATGGCTATGCTTACTTTGAATATGTATCTTGCTTAGTTGAGGTTATCATTACTTTTGTGTGCGGGTTCATAGAGCGCTTAGCCTACTAGTTTACCAAGGTTGGGCTAAGTAGCCGAGCCTCGTGTAAGCATGGTGCTTATACGATGCTCTGCCTGTGAGTACACCCTGTTCTCTGGTTGTGTGGTAGTAGCGGGTGGTGACAGTCCCATCTATCCTTTGTAGTCCACATCGAATTGAGCAAGTGCTTAAATTGTAGGACCGTAGTCACGTCAGTAGAGTTATCTATTGTGGAAGCTCTACCGTTTAAGCAGCATCCCGAAGTGCACAAGAGTAGAGTAAGTCATAACTATAGTCGGGTATATATATACTTTGATTCTATAATAAGAATATCATAGGAATCTACCTCGCCCTTTGTCCTTCTGAGTTAACTAGTTTACATTATCTTAATGATCTATCCCCTGAGTGTCATTATCCTTAATTCCTATCATTATCTCTACCCCTTGCTCTAGCTATGTTGGTATGTTGATTAGTAGACATTCCTTTGTTATCCAATAAATCTTTACTCCATTGTTTCTCTGTAGTAAAATATAAATAACGATACCTAGAATACTCCCGGTAAAATGCTACAATGGTATTCTATGCGTTTGCGGAATCCTTTATATTCTATTTGCACTTATAAATACCAACACATGCTATACGAATACTTTAGTACCATGTATAGATCGCCCCTTTCCAACTCATTTTTTTGTTTTCCTCCTACGACTTAAATACCCGTATAACATGCTCATATGACAAGCTTTTACGACCTATACCATAACCCCATATCATAAAAGTCACAGCATTATGATAATAGCGTCCTCTGCATGGGCATTACGGTCGAGCAAATAGAGTACAGGAAAATCCAAGTCGAAGAGAAAGAACAACAATTTAATTAAAAGACAAAGCTCTTTTTGTGACATATATCCTAAATTCTACAGTACTTGGTCATGCGAGATCTATCCGGTGCAACAGGTTACACCTGATCTCAAAAGAGGCCAAAGTACATTTCGAAGCACTCAATCTTATGAGGGTCCAAAGACTTGACGAAGTTCTTGACCTCAAACTGATTAAAATGCTCATTAATACCGAAGTACATATAATGAGAGGGTCCATTGCATTTGACAGAGTGCTCGACCTCAAATGACCGAAGTACTCGTCAAACCCCAAAGTGCCATCACGCGAGGGTCCAAAGGCTCGATGGAGTTCTTGATCTCAAGTAATCAAAGTACTCATTTAAACTGAAGACCAGTCACAAGAGGGGCCATTGTATTCGATGGAGCACCCGACCTCAAGTGATCAGGGTTCTCGTTAATCATTTCAAAGTTACTATCATTAGAGATCTCATGAGATCAATCTCCAGTGATCAAAGTAAGTAAAACTAACATGTCACAAAGGTACTCTATTTGTTTTTAAAATTGTACTGCCGTCTACTGGCAGGGGCCTTTCTCACAAAATTGAAAGAAACCGATTGAGGGTTGTCAGAACTAACCAAACAAAACAAAACTAGTCACCCCCATATCATCAGTCCTTTATGATGTTTTGGCTACACTTCCTTCTCCCTGACTCAAACATGCTTGGGGGCTAGAGCCTGCCTGTAGCCCCATTCGATGTCCTTTTAGTTATAGAAAGGCTTGGGGGCTACCCTGAAACGACAGCCATTCTAACAGCTAAGCTAATCCTTATCTAGAACATCGATCGACATTGTTCACATAAAGATTAAGGAGGCGATCATTTACTCTATTATGTCTCTACTCTTTATTTGAATAATTTCCTTATTTAAATAAAGAGTCGGGGGCTACCATACATATATACCTACCAAATTTTGATTTTCCCCGAACGCATGGAAGCTAGAACACCCAAACACACACTGTTGCTAGGAATAATTGTACAGACAGACCGCTCGAGTCTCAAGTACACCAGCCTTACAACTTATGTGAAAACGGCACACAGCGATGCAAGAGGGAAAATTACCGACAAAATGAAACTACTTAAATAACAGAAAACGATAATGTGTTCAACATTACGAAAATTATCTCAGGGTAGTGTTAATGTTCCACAACACGGTGATTGATGCAAGATAAAAAGTCACTTACCATTTTCATCATCATCGTCATCAATGGAGAAACCGAGTCTCTCAACAAAGGCTCGGCTGTGGGGCGGATTCCATCAAGTAACTGTTGAGCATCTTCCGCCTGACTGCAATTGTAACCTTGCAGTATGAGGCTCGGGTCAAAATCAAGCCGGCGGCTCTTGATGACTCCCACCACGTGCTCAACAGCAGTGACATCTCCCTCGGTCAGCTTCTCCTCAACAGCAGCCCGACGCTCCTCGGCAGCCTCAAGCTTCTTTTGCAACTCCTCAGCTTGATGTTTCAAAGTCGTCTTCTCCCTCTCCAGGATATCGACATGTTTGCGCAGGCATGAGAAAAGCAACAAGGAGTTAGGGCCCGAAAAGCAGCGGGCGTATTTCAAAATTACATCAAAGCTTACCTTCATTACTCTCTAGAAGATCATACACCTCCTGCTGCAGCTTAACATTGTCTAAGTCAGACTGCTCGGCTCTTTTGAGATCTCCTTCCCAAAGATCACAGAAGCCTTGCATCTCTTGGAAATGGGCACGCAGTCGAGAGGGGTTTCTCTCTAGGAGTATAGTCTCGTCCCCTTTGACCTGGACAGTGGTCGTTAGAGCCATGTTCAAAACCTCAGGGGTCGGGGTAGCACCAGGCTCTTCAGCTACAGTCTTTCTCGAGCCTTCGAAAGTTTTGGCGTTCCTGCAAAATAGCAATTGAACGTAGAGAGGGGGAAAACTCAGGAAAAACATGGACAAAGTCGCCAGCCAATAACTCACGGGTCAAGCGGGATCAAGCACTTCAGCTTCTTTGATCGCTAAGTCGTCGGTTTGGGCGCTGGTGGGGTTATAGCTTTCTCCTGAGTACAAACCTCCCGAACACGTTCAAGGCTATCCAGATGGCTAAAAACCCCGATCAAGCGATCAAAAACATCTCTAAGTGGTACCTGATCACTGGAGCGAGGTAGTACGTCTTGTTCTGCCTCCTGTTGCGTCGTCGACCGATCTTCACCAGTACCGGTAACTGAAGGAGGGCTTTTGGACTTACCTCGACTCATTTTAGGGGGAGAAAGCTTAAGTTCTTCCACACTCCCATGTGATCGGGTCTGCCTCTTCTCAACCACCCGAGCAGCCTTGGGGGCTGGCACCTCCTTGGGTGCAGTCTCGTCACCAGATGCTCCTCCGGTTACCTCCTTCTGTTGCGTCCCCAAGCCAGGCTTGGGGGTTGGTGTAACAGCACGGGACGTAGGAATCCGAGTAGACCCACCTTCCGAGGTTGCCCCAGCTGCCAATTGCTCAGGACCATCGTCACCATCACTGCCAATGTCCATCCCTCCGGCGATAGGGCCCAAGGGGACGACATCCTGGTATGCCATGGTGAGTAAAACATCAAGATTGTTAAAGAAGCAAGTCAATAAAGATCTCGTTTGGTTCAAAGTCAAGCTAGAGTGACATCTCACTAGAAAATATTCCCGTACATGCAGGTTGACCGCGCGCCCCCTAACCCCAAAAAACAAAAACAAAAACAAAAAACTGAAGTACAAAGTCATCACAGGGGGACAAGAGCGTGGGCATTGTCTCATTTAGCAGTTGGATCTTCTACGTCATTGTCTCATCCCACTTTTTGGTGTCCTACGCCAAACAGAAAATGGGTCAATCTAGAACCAAACAGAAAACGGGTTCATAACTTTTCTCTCAGCCAAACGCTATGCACATTTTTTTTTTTTTTGTGTCGTTTGAAGGAACGATAATTTTCTAATCGCGCAACAGGATTAATAGATGGACCACAGGTATAAAATTTCGTCGAGGATTTACCCTGTTGTTGTGACCCCTTTTATTCTGTAGTAATAAACTAGATAGATTATGTATGGCTTTAACATAGCAACTTTTAAATAAAATAAAAAAGAATGATATTTACGTGGGCATTGTCTCATCTAGCAGTTGGATCTTGAACGTGATTGTCTCATCCCATTTTTTGGTGTCCTGCGCCAAACAGAAAACGGGTCAATCTAGAACCAAACAGAAAACAGGTTCATAACTTTTCTCTCAACCAAACGCTATGCACATTTTTTTTTGTGTCGTTTGAAGGAACGATAATTTTTTAATCGCGCAACAGGATTAATTGATGGACCACAGGTATAAAATTTCGTCAAGGATTTACCCTGTTGTTGTGACCCCTTTTATTCTGTAGTAATAAACTAGATAGATTGTGTATGGCTTTAACATAGTAACTTTTAAATAAAATAAAAAAGAATGATATTTAAAAATATCAAAAAAAGATGACAGCTGTGGGATTTGAACCCACGCCCTTTCGGACCAGAGCCTAAATCTGGCGCCTTAGACCACTCGGCCAAACTGTCAAGTTATACTAGAAGTTGGAATAATATATTATATCAAGATAACACACCAAGCGGGCTACAGGAGCACAGTAACCTTGGCGAGATTGATTCAACTTGTCACAAACCGAACGTACATACAAGCATGAATCTACTGCTGTTGTGGGCAACATATTTGCCACAAAACAAAGGAAAACATATTGTCATATCAACCTAATCAAAAGGGTCAATCCGTGGATCATGCTCACTTGCCATCGCCATTCCTGTACACAAGCACGTCGGGCACATCACCTGGGAAACATGGAGATGCAACAATAAAGGAAGTTTATTTATACTTTATAGAGGCAAACATGTTACTGGTGGAAGATGATATGGAATGCCCTTTCTAATCTGCAACCAGGAATTCCCATATGCATTCCCACAAAAACTCTATGCAACACTTTTTAGTTTGAACAAGACTCAGACAATCTCTGCGCAGCATTGAATTTAAGCATTAATTACTTGTTTGATCTGCGGTATCACCTCGTCATTTAACCTAAAGGCAGTACCTCAAGTATGATAAACTTTTCTATTGTTCAAATCTTCTAGAATGCATCAAACTGGCTATTGTGAAACATAACGGCAATATATAGAATACCTTTCCAGCTCCAGAACAATTCTGACACCTTCCTTTCATTGACCACATATTATGCCCCAATAATGAAAAGTGCTTTGTGTTCAATAACATCCCACTAGCAGAACAGCGAGCACATGGCAAGTATCCTATATTGCAGAAGCAAGATCAGTCAAGAGAGTAAATGTAAGGCTCAAGCTAGTTAGTGTTAGTATAGCATTTTTTTATTTGGAAGGTAGTTGAAAAGTATTTTGTTTGTACCAGTCCCATGGCAATATGTGCATCTTTTCTTCTCTTGCTGCCTGACATTTCTCACTTCAACCAACATTAAAGCTGAGATAACACCAACTGCTCCACCTGAAAATGATGCCACTATGGGATCTACCTGACTGAACAGCAGCCAACAAAAATGTATCAAACACTTCTCTAAGTACTGCTACATAATTCACTATAAGAGACAGGTTGTTCAAAGCACCTCAATTGAAGAGGTAAGTGCAAGGTCCTTATAAAATCTTCATAAGATGTGCCACCCAGCCCTAATTTCAGTTCAAGCTGCATCAAAAGGCATCTCCTTTAGGAAAACTTACTATATGACCTAATAGTGAGAAGAGGTTCTGGTAAAAATAATAGGGAGTTCAACCATAAAGCGACGCATGTACTTACTACTGGGGCTACCAAGCCTCCGAAAATGATTATCCCAGATATGACAGAAAATGATGTCATATAGAGTTGCTTCATAGTCTTTGGTGACTGTTTTGGGGAAAGGAAAAAGACAAGTTAATAGAAGTTAGAACAACTCCAGATGCCAATGTGATCATTTCTCAAAAAAACAGATGAGTGCTGTTGGTCACCGCATCAGGCATAAATGGAATAGTTGATGGAATCTCAGGCATTTCATTTTCTTCAGTGTTGGCATCTTTGCTTTCAGAAGTTCGGATACGCTGCTGCACTCGCAATCGTCTAACCTGATTAATTTTTCCATACAGAGAACTTCACAATGTTGTCTTAGCAAAGCTACAAATGGATAGCTACTTAGCTAGAATTGGACAAATGAAATGAAACACATAGTCTGCAAAACTGAAAACCTCTTCCATCAGAAGGAAAATTTTGTTACGTCGGCTCTTGATGTTGTCTTCAATCTCTTGCGATTGCATTTGAACAAAGTCCTCGATTGTCTCTGGACCTTCAATTATACAAAAGCTGCAGAGAAGAAACATGATTGATCCTGTAAGGCTGAGCCAGAACGGATTATCATACTTATTGTTCAACTAAGTTTCCATAGAAAGATATTGATGCTTACTTAATCTACTAGTACTTTTTTTTGAACTTTAATCTACTAGTACTTACCATTTAGGACTATTAACTTTTGCTTTTTATTACCCCTCCACTACAAGGTTAATAATGCACTTCAGATCTATCAATTTGATCTGGCATATAAATCTCTCTTTTATGATATACTCTATTTCAAATATCTCATATGAATATATCTCAGTGAATCTTTGATGTGATTCTTCCCTCTAAGGTCAGAACTTAGCGTTAATATAAACTCTACTTTTAGAACTAGAGCAGGAGGCTCGGAACTGAAATATCTTGGGAAGATGTCCCCAGCAGATGTCAGTACTCATTAGAATTGGATATGCTGTAAGCTAACTGGGACTATATCTTCCCAAGCAACTTCGGCAAAAAGTCTCAAACTTGACGAGTGGATGCTAATGCCCGCAGCCGCCAAGCAAGAACTCATCATACTAGCTTGTAGTACTAGCTACTAGCTCAACAGCAACCCCGTCCCTCGAACCATTTCGTAGCTGAAAAGGGAAAATTTCAACAGTGAATTAAGGTAAAGCAACCTGGAGAGGCCGCCGTCCCCGGACGCCGCCCTGGACTCGCCAGCTGGGGAGCACCGCCGCAGCACCAGCTGCGGCCGCCGACCGCAGCCGGCTTCTCCCCCTCCCGTCGTCGTCCCCCGCGCCGCGTAATAATGCAAGCCTCGGCACGGCGAAGGCGGGCGCAAAGGACCGGCCGCGCGGAGCATGCGCGGTGCCCCCGTTGGCGGTGCCGCCGGCGGCGCGGCGAGGCAGGACATGGCCGGCCAACCCAGCGCCGCGTCGTGGCTGTTGCCTGTTGGGGGCGTATGGAAGCGTCCGCTGGCGCCTGGCTGTGACGGATTTGGATAGGCGACGACGGCGAAGCGGGTCGGGTACACCGTACACTACACGGGCGGCGTTACGCCGTAACCCCATTACCGCGGGTAGATGACAAATGTGGAAAGGCGAAGCATCTCGCGACAACGGACAGCAGCATCGAGATTTCCTTCGTTGACGCGCTGCAGGCTGCGGGTGGCAGATTCAAAGTTTGCCCACATGTTCTTGTATAACCTCATAACATGACCACAGCAGTTGCATCTTCCCATGAACAATTTCATGTCGTTCTTGTGTCTCTATCAATAGATATGGATGAGCCTTGGTCTTCCGGATTGCCTTAATTAACTATTAGCAATAATAATTGCCCCAACAACAGAAAGCACCATGTGAAACACACGGCTGCAACCCTGCAAAGTACATGATGCTTTTACAACAACTCAGTTTGTTCAACCTACAGTGATGAATCACATGGGCACATTGTCCTCCGAACTTAAGGTGCCCCGGCACTCTCCATCCACCAGCTTGCCAGGATTAATGGAAAACTCATTTATGTAGGGCTCTTAGTCTCAGGTGATGTCTTAAAAAAAAATAGACACATTGAGTATGACTAGGATATATAGGAAAAGGCATGAGGAACAAAATGACCATTTGGCTTCCCAACTGTAGCTACGGTAGTGACTCTAATTATATATGATGCAACTCTACCGACAAGAATTTCCTCAATCACATGGTTGATCACTACCTTCACTATGTTTTACGTCTTGCATGGACTTAGCAATTAGTAGACTCCGAAGAATGTTTGTTTACTTGGCGCCATTGATTCATGTATAGGACCCCACTTACAGACTTACTAGTCTTGTTGATCCATGTACGAATTGGATTACTATCGGTAAGCTGCAACAAGGGTCCAATAAAGTGACAAAGGGGCTGTAGAACCCACACAATATCTATAGGAAATTATGATACCAACTGTTAGCAGTAGTGTAGCTAGGGCTCCGTAACATCTCTGGTGCTACGTGCTCGCTTAGCACTGAGATTACGGCCAGAGAAATAGGTCTATAAATATAGTGAGTTAGTTACTTAAATGTGCTAATAAAATATTAACAAAAAAATAGGAAAAGTAGTTTTAATTGTTTGGTACGAAAAGCAATTTTTATAAACAAAAATACAATACGACTTGTATGTAGTATTTAAATAAAATTCGAAGTGTAAGTCTAGTAGATGAAAATGCAACTTTTGTTTCGGTAAATAAGTGTCGTTCGATAGTATTTTGATAGCTCGAGGATTAAAATTGGAATTTAATTCCAGCCTCTAGAACTACAATAAGTCTAAAAACTTAATGACGATGTCGTTTTGGCATTTAAATTTTGATTAAATTTCTTAAACACTAGATTCGTGTGTTTGCACTGTTGGTTGCCCAAGATGAGCACTCGAGAATGCTGTAGGTTATAGTCGTGTTGAGTGTCACGTGGATCTCATAAAAAATTGCCTAAGTTCATTAGAACACGCTGCGAGCTATGTGTCAACGCTCTGTCGCGAACCAGAACTTCGAGGACGAACTCATCTCGGCACGCATGTATCTTCCTCTCGGGTGGCCCTTTTGTTGTGCGGGTTGCTCCATTAGATAGCTGATAAGATCGACTTTAGGGTCGGGGAATTAGTTGAACCTCAATCGTGATCATTAGCAGTTTTCACGTTGCTTTAAATTTCGTGCTCGTCATCGTTCGTCGTTGGTCAGCCTGAGCCATAGCCACCGCGCGCGCACGTTGTCGTTCCAGGCCGTGGTCGTGCCTGTGGCCGGCCCTGCTGGCCAGGCCACACGTCGTGCTAGTGTTGGTCACGGCCGTCTTCGCGAGGCCGGGTTGAGCTGCAGGGCCGCTGCAGCGTGGCCATCGTGTACGCGTTGCCGGCCTGACGGTGCGCAGGCCAAGCTGGTGCCGCTAGCCGACGTTGGATGGCTGACGTGGCACCTATTTCGCCGCCTATCTCACCTACCTCGATCCTGCCCGCGTCCTCTGCTGCCGCGTTCGATCGGTGGCCCGACCACAGTGAGGACGGGACGTCTCCCTGCCCTGCTCTACTGCTAGCCGACGTCGGTGACCCCACTCGGACCCCGTTGCTACGATTCAAATGCATCGCGCCAAGTCCTTCTCTGTTCGCCAGCCGCGCCACATGCTCGTGGCTGCTGTCAATCGGACCGCTCCGCCTTAACCCGCCGAGCTCGCTCGTGTGTCCTCCCCACGGCCGTGACATGCGTTAGACCGTCGCACCCCCGCTTTCCATTTTGCCTAGCTCGAGCTCGCCACCGCTCTGCGCCTTTCCGCGCTCGACCACCTGCCCCACCGCCTCCGCTTCGCTCTCCTCTGTGTCCCGCGTGTGCTCGTCGGGCTTCACCGAGCCGGGAGCCGCCGTGTGCCGCGCCATCACCAGCAGCGCCGCTGCCGCCGCCGCCGTGCCATGCCCACCTCAGGCAGCAGCCGATCGGGCCGCGCCTCTACAGGGTCGCCGCCTCTGGCTGTGCGAGGGCTAGGCTAGGCTGCGCCCTGGCTAGCCGCCACCAGCCGCAGCCTCGAGCTGGCCGGTTGGCTCGTGTCGCCGGCCGCGACCCGCTGTATCGTACTGCTCTCTACGTAAAGAGGTAGAAGAAGGACCCGGCTGCAAATAGAAACTCTTTACCGTGTTCACTTTATAAAAATGCTAGACACATTAATTTACATATTGGGCTTCGTAAATTTTGGTAAAGTCCAGGGGCCTTGATGGAAAGTGTTTGTCCTATTAGGCTTTCCCTTTTTCTTTTTGTTATTTCGGCTGAAACTTTGGAAATTCATAGTAAATCATAGAAAAATCGTAAAATGGAAAATAAAGATGTTTTGGAATCCTTGTGATTAGATCTATGCAGTAGGTGTATAATATTTCATGTGTTGGTAGAAAAATCTTGCTCTAGATTTTTGCCTAGGATTTTTATGGAGAAATTCATATCTATAATTTCTGTGCTCCAAATGTCATGAAATTTTTATGGTATGCTATTCAAGAGATGCTTGATCTATGATAAAAATTTCGTGTTCAATTCATGCATAGTTACTGAGTTATTGATTTATCATTGTCACGTGCTTTTATTGCTATTAAATCTTAATTAAGTGCTAGTAAATAATATGTTGATCCAAAAAATTATGAAACTTGTACAATATTTCTGATTAGTTAAGATGTATCTCCCGTAAAATTTTTATGTCCAAAAGAGATGTTTGGTGCGTCACCTTTTTATGTCATGGTTGTTTGTATTTAATCTTTTATAAATACTAGATGTTGGATTAAGGTTAATAAATGCTTTTCTATGCTACTGGTTACTGGTTACCTGAGTGATTGTTACTCAATTATGTTTGTAATGGTTATAGGCTTAGCATGTTGCCCTGTCTTGCGTGTGTATGTGTCGGTGTTTCGAACAAACACCGGCGAGTAAATTTGTAATTGATGCGCGTTAGGCCCGGATGGTGCGCTAAAGGACACAAGGGTTATACTGGTTCGGGCCGAATGTCTCTACGTCCAGTCTGTTGCTGCTCGTGTTATTAGCACCGAATGAGGTTCGTAGTAGGGGGTACAAACGGTTGGGAGAGGGAAAGACCCCAAGTCCCTGATGGAGTGATTGGAAGGACGCCAAGAGCTCTGCTGGAGCTTGGCCGTGTGGTGCGTGTGTGTGTGTGTTCAGAATTGATCCCCTTAGTGGGGAGCCCTGCCCTCCCTTTTATAGGTCAAGGGGGAGTAGGGTTTACAGACAAAGGAAAAGAGCACTAAGGGCGTAGAAGGTCCTTCGAGGGACCCGGGCCTTCCTTCTTCCCCACGCCTGACCTATCCATCATGGCAGGCCGTGTCAGGAGCGAGGTGACTGTGGATCGTCGTGGGCCGTGCCATGGCCACTGTTTAGCAAGTGGGTACGTCCCATCCCGCCCCTGCGGGCGGCGTGTCGGACAGGATTTGCCGAGCCCCGACCCTGAGGGGGTCGGGTGGCGGGGTGACTGTTGGTTTGCCCTTGGAACATAGTGGTTGTCGTATGTCTGTGTCGGGTTCTTCGTCCAGAGGTTGCGGGCGGCACCTACAATACTGTAGGATGAATAGCAGGCGCCCGCAACACTGTTCGGGCTCTGCCACGCCTGGAGAGGTCAGATGCTTGTCTCTGCCACATCCTGACGGTACCTCTCTGCAGGGGTGCAGGGCATGGCGTCTGTCGCTGCGGTTTGACCCGAATGTCTTGTCTTTACCCTGTAGTCGCCATCATGAGGATGCGGGGTACGTTTCGTCAGGTGAGCTAAACCAGCCTCCGGATATCGGTTTAAGACGAGGTCCGTCAGTGGTCGTTGGATGAGGTAAAACCTAGCTTTTACCGTCGGGTGAAGCGGAGGTGTCCCCCGGCCGTCGGGCGGGGCCGAGCCCAGCCCTCGGGGGTCGGGCGAGGCGGAGTGTATCCTTGGGGGTCGGGTGAGTTGTTACCCAGCCGTCGGGCGAGGCGGAGTTGCCTTCCAGCCGTAGGGCGGGGCCGAGCCCAGCCCTCGGGGGTCGGGCGAGGCGGAGCAAGACTCCTGTTTGCTCGGGCAAGAGATACAGCCGCGCTCTCGGGAGTTTTTACCGTTCGATGGTGCATTGATTCCTCCTCTTTGGGGTACCCCGGTATTAGGTCCCCGACAGTAGTCCCCGAGCCCTCGGGTGATTCGGGGTGAATCATCCGGGGGGTTTCTTCGGTCTCGTCGGAGTTACCTTTCCAGAGGGTGCGCGCGAGCGCACCCGGTGGGTGTAGTCCCCGAGCCCTCGGGTGATTCGGGGTGAATCATCCGGGGGGGTTCTTCGGTCTCTTCGCGGGTAAGGTTGAAGGACTTAATTTTTCGTCAACCGGACATTTTTCCGAATGGGTCGTGGTATTCCGTTCGCTGGGAACTGATTCGAGGCTGACCTA